GTCCAGAGATATTTCACGAGAAGCGTCCTCCATTCCTGTACCCGCAACAGAATACCTTATGCCACCAGACTTCAAATTTTGGGCTTAGACAATTTAGAACTATGCCAACTTGAGTCTGACCTAAGCGTAGTACATAAAATTATCTGCCACAATGTCCTACCTGTCAATGACTACTTCAGCTTCAACCACAACAATACACAAGTAAATAATAGATACAAACTCAAAGTAAACCACTCCAAACTCTATTGAAGAAAATATGACTTCAGTAACAGAGTGGTCAATGCCTGGAATGCACTACCTGACTCTGTGGTTTCTTCCCCAAACCCCGAAAACTTTAACTTTAAATTTGTCTACTGTTGACCTCACCCCATTCCTAAGAAGTCTGTAAGGGGAGTGCATAAAAGCACCAGCATGCCTACCATCCCTGTTCTAATATTCCTTTTTACTCTTACTCTTTTCATGCATTCAAATTATGTTTATACTTTTACCTGTTATTTTATGTATGCTTGACAAATAAAATAAAATAAAAATAAATAAATAAATAAAATTATGTATACCAGGAAAAAAAAGGAATTAATTCCATCCACGGAAAAAGAGTTATCATTGTAATATTTAATATATTAATACATATGTTATCATGTAGACAAACAATTTAAATGCTTCACTTCTCATTATAATTAACCGCTATCTTTTTTTTTTCTGCTGTGCAAATGCTTTTTGCTGATAGGTATCTTTAGGGCCTTCGGTCTCCTTTTATGTCTTTCAACTGATTTTGACTAGGCTGCCATCCAAATAGAGAACATGTGATCATGTGCACTGGCATGATAATTCCATTTCTTTCACGTACCAATATGTTTGCAGCTATTTCTATTGAGAGGCACATTTTTCTGTCATTTCTAATTTGATGAGCTCTTTCTCCTGTATTTCAGCAGATACCATTTCATAAAGGACAGACTACTTTTCTTGCAAACCAGACTTGTTTTCCAACCAGTTTAAGATCCCCTTCATTGGGACTTCCGGTTTCCTTGTCTTCGGCGGCGGCGGTGCCTTTTGAAGCTCCGCCAGCCCCGCCGCTTGTAGAGCCGCTTCGCGACTAAGAAGCGGCTCGAAAACTTCAAAAATCTTTAGGATTTTTGAAGAGAGATCGCAGGGTACAGATTGAGCCCCTGCAACCCCCCCAGGGAATAGTTTCTGGGGAGGGAACAGGAGCGGCTCCCATTCAACCTGCTGGAACTCCGGGCGGCGTGGGACAAGTCTGCTTCTGCAGAACAAGCCGGCTACAGGAAACTTTAAATTGAAAGAAAAGGAACCAGCCTTAATAAGCAGCATACTGTTACTTGAACCCTGAAACTCGGAATCGCAAGTATTAGAGTTTTCTTGGCTTTCTAATCTGAGTGAAAAAATGCGGATGAGTGAAAGTGAACTGTAAAAACATGGCGCTTAGCCTTAGAGTTAACGAGCTGGCGAGTGTGGATTGCTGAACTCATCTTGCTTTGTTACAAAGTTTCTAAATTGCTACGAAGTTGCTTCGCTTGCAACAAGAGAAATAAGAGAGAAATTTCTCCTTTTTCAATACTGGACTTTGCTTTACTTTGGTTCTTATTTGATTAAATCTGGGGGACTTTTTCAGAAGTCTTTGTGGAGGTGGGAGAGGAAGAAGAACTTCCCTTTTTAGTAAAACCAGCCTACGTGGCAGGATGGCCTCAAAGAAGCAGGAAGCGAAGGCAACAGGAGGTGGATCTCCCACACATAAAGCACAGCCTCCCCCAGTACAACAGATACAGACTCAGAAAAAAGTTTTTGATGTGGGAGATTTAAAAGAATTTATTTCTAAAACTTTGGATGATAAATTTCAAAAATCTCAACAGGAGATAGATGATAAACTTCAAAAATCACATCAGGAATTTATGCAGGAAATTAATGAAGTTAAAGATATGGTGAAACAGAATCAAAACAAGGTGACCAAAAAAATATCAGAAGTGGCGTCTGGCAGAATTTATTGTGAAAGTTGATTCTAAAGTTGAAGAACTTAAATCAGAAGTTAATGTTAAGATGAAAGACAATGATTATAAAATTGCTGATGTTGACAATAAAATGCAAAGAGTTGAAAATGAGATTGTGATGGTACAATTCAGGGCAATGGAGTTTGCCATACGGCTTCGAGGAATTCGAGAAGAGGAAAGACAGGATTTGAGACAGGTTTGTTCTGAGGCCCTGGCCAAGATTCTACAAGTTAATCCTGATGTGGTTTTTCACAAAATAGATAAAATTTACAGAGTGAATTCTTGGGTGGCCAGACAAAGACAATTGCCCAGAGATGTGGTCATATATTTTACAGATAGAGAAATAAGAAATGACATCCTGCAAAAATCCTTTTACACTTCTGTGCAAGTGGGGGGCTCACGAATTGGAATTTATAAAGAATTACCTCCTAAAATGCTGAAAACTAGAAAAGAATTTGGCTTTCTTGTTAAGGAATTGCAAAATTTACAGATACCATTTCGGTGGGACGCCCCAGTTGGTATAATTTTCAGATACAAGGGAGAAAGATATCGTTTGAATACCGTGGAGAAGGCAGAGCACTTTTACACTACTATTCTTAAGGAAAGAACACCATCTCCACGTACATCTACAGTTTTGGAGATTAAGGAGAGTGAAGAGAAGCAACCTCAACGAGAACTGCAAGAACAGTCTAAGCAGGAATTAGAGGAAATGCAAGGCGCAGAAGGAGGTTTTCTGGATGAATGGGAATGGAAAAGATGGATAGAATATGTTCAGAACAAATATCAAACTAGAAAGTATCAAATAGCTTTTATTTGAAAATAATGTTTTAGAAATATTTTAATGTAATGAGGTAAAAAGAAAAATTATACAGGGGAGGGAGGGGTTCAAGTTTACACATAAGTGTCATATTAAGGGGTTTTTTTTACGAGTTATGAGTATATTATAGGGAAGTCTGGGGGGAGGGGAGGGTTAGGGAGGTTGGGAAGTTTGGGGGGGGTGGGGGGGGAAAAAGGGGTGAAAATGTAATTGTAAAACTTTTGCAATAAAAAAAAAAAAAGATCCCCTTCATTGCATCCTGTTTATTTTCTCCAGCAATGCAAGTGCTCTTCAACAAGTACATCTTACATATTCTTGTCAGATGAAACAGCCTTGTGTGCAGTGCTTCTTCAATGATATAACCTTCTATACAGTTTCTGGCTGAGCTGTCCAGCATCACCTGTGGGAGGAATTCTGTAAATTGTAGTTCTTCAACATCTGGAGCATGATCAGGTTGCCATTTGGGGGAAGGGTATTCTTTTTGATCTGAGCTGAATTTGGATTTGGGTCAAACGTTCTTTCTTCATCCAGTGTATGCTAACAATCCTTTAGAATCAAATTATAATAAATATTTACAAGCTAAGGGTAGGTACATATTATGGAGATCAAGTTGAATTTAGCCTAAAGTGACTTTATCTGAAATACTGGAAATCTGGTAAATAAGCAGCATCAAAATGATATTGTGGAAATTATATCAGATAATTACATCATGGCCTATTAGCCCAGAAGCTTATCATCACTGGATTGACACTCACTATGAAAGATTGCATCAGTATTTTCATTCTAGTTCCTTCTAGAACAGGGGTGTCAAACTCGCGTAGTCACGGCGGTGTCACGTGACGTATTGTTAACTTCCCCCCCCCTTTGCTAAACTGGGCGTGGGTGTGGGCAATGCGTGACGCATCCAGCCCGCGGGCCACGAGTTTGACACCCCTGTTCTACAAGAACAGGAATACAATAGCCACAGCATAATTTGCAGAGAAATTTTTTCATGCAGCTGAAAAAATGCCTGCAAGTAGCTTTGTTTTTTGTTTTTCTTTTTAAATATGTCTGGGGATCCCATGTTAACACCTACTGCATTTCTAATATAGAATGAATTAGGATTACTCACACATCTTAGATGGTAACAATTGTTCATACCTTGAGGTCCTATGATACTAGGGCAAATACTGAAATATCTGTTGAATAAATAGTATGTGGCTAACCTAAAGAAATCCGGTTTATTCTTGGAGACCACAAGATTTTTCAAGTTCCTTGCCTAGCCCTAGGGTTCTCTTGTGTTCTTACGTCCAAGGGAGACCTTAAGGGAGCCCCAGGGCTGTGAATTAGACTAATTGTTGTTCAACCTCACCAACTTGAATTTATTTGGACTTCAACTCCCAGGATTTGCCAGCCAGCACGCTGGCTGCAGAATTCTGAGAGTTGAAGTCCACACAACTTCAAGTTGCTGGGATTGAGAAGCAATGTGCTAGCTAGACTATGAAATTGAGAAAACCAGAAGAAATCCAATGGCACCATTCGTGTCCTGATGCTGTATACCTGCTGATCTTGATGCCACCTATGGATCCACGAAGTCCCCAAGAACTGAGCTCAGCTTAAAGGAACTTGAACCTTGGCTTTGTGTTCTGACTGAGAATGTTAGAAGCTGTCATTCTCAAAGGGTAACATTTTGCACCCAATACTACCATCACCATTTCCTCCTTAAAACTCACCTGGAAACATCTGTCGAGCTCCCGGAAAGACAGTTCTGAATCTTTTAAGTAAAAAATGGAAGGGAATGAAGAACACAAACGGCGACTCGGAAATGCCTTTCTTTAAAGATTCATCAGAGTAACGGATGAGTTTATGCGGGCTCTTTTTAATAAAAGAGAAATACTTTAGACCAGCCTTCAGGCGACATCAAACCCTTTTTTAAAACATGTCAATACTCGTATTTAGCTATTAAAAGCAACCAATTTATCTCCGCTCTTCCGTACGTCTGCAACACCTCCACCGCCTATGGAATCAAACAGTGCACGGATTTAACGGATTGGTGGGAAAAGCTGGGCAGCACCGCCACCTTCCGGAGCGTCTCCCTTGGAAAAGACGCGGGGCGGAGCGCACTCCGGCGGGGCAGCCTCTTCCTCTTGTGACGCCTGGAAGCGGCAAAGTCGCGGAGAAGCAGGAAGTAAGTCCTAAGGTTTTTCTTTTCTTTTCTTTTTTTTTTTAAAAAAAATCCAGATTCTTAAAATGAGCGTATCTCGTCAGGATCGCGCAAAATGTTAGCTGGAGCACTTTAGAAAAGTCCAAAAAAGATTTCTATGTCATTAAAGCTCGAACCGGATTCATTGTAGAAGTAGAAGGCTGCAGACTAGTTGGTTGGAGAGAAAGACGCGTTTTCTCCTAAAAAACGTAGTAAGTAAAAGGGGAAAAAAGTAAGTAAAAAGGAATATTAGGACAGGGATGGTAGGCACGCTGGTGCTTTTATGCACTCCTTTTACAGACTTCTTAGGAATGGGGTGAGGTCAATAGTAGACAGTTTAAGATTAAAGTTTGGGGAGTTTGGGGAAGAAACCACAGAGTCAGGTTGTGCCTTCCAGGCATTGACCACGCTGTTACTGAAGTCATATTTTCTTCAACAGAGTTTGGAGTGGTTTACTTTGAGTTTGTATCTTATTATTTGCTTGTGTATTGTGGTTGAAGCTGAAGTAGTTGCGCAAAAGTTTTTCAAGAACTTGTAGTTTTTGTTTTAGGATTCTGCTTGGCCAGGAGTTGTAATAGCCAGATGTTGCAGACTCCGGAAAAGAGGATATCAGCATTAAAGAGAGAAATATTTTTTAAAAAAAAAAACTGTGCTTGAAGTTTGACTTTGGACAAAAGCTTCTGAACCTTCCTTGTATTCTTTCTAGATTTCCGGGAATGGATCCCTTTTTGGATTTGCTGCACTCGATTTCAAGGGCCTTGTCGCCCGCGGAGCTCAAAGACCTTAAATTTCTTTGCCAGAGCCATATTGGTAAAAAAAAACTGGAGGGTGTAAGCAGTGGCAATGAGCTCTTCACGATTCTCCTGGAACAGGAAAAAATTGCGTACAACGATGTAGAGGTTTTGAGATACATGCTCAAAAGTCTGAAAAGAGAAGATCTACTAACCCAACTAGAGCAGTACGTCAAAACAGCGGACGGTGATCCAGATCGTCAGCCAGAGGATAAAGAGAAATGTAGGTTGCTCTTGTTACTATTTGATCTGGAAAAAAAAATGGTGCTTTGGACCTTGAGGCAGGGGTGAAATTCAGCAGGTTCTGACAGGTTCTGGAGAACCGGTAGCAGAAATTTTGAGTTATTTGGAGAACTGGCAAATACCACCTCTGGCTGGCCCCAGAGTGGGGTGGAAATGGAAATTTTGCAGTATCCTTCACCTGCACGCCCACGCCCACCAAGCCATGCCCACAGAACCGGTAATAAAAAAATTTGAATTCAACCACTGCCTTGAGGGGCAGGGCTGCAGTCTTCCATGCACCAGTTTGCAATGTATCACACTGGCTCTGGGGGGATTTATTTTTTGGTAAATATTCAGGCTGCTAAGGTTGATCTATAGGTGCTATAGGACACTTTGGGGTTATTATTGTGAAATATAAGTCATAGAAATACTCTGTAGAATGTGTAAGTCTAAGGTGTCTTGTACAAAAGGCAAGTTGTTTCTATCCAAACAAGCTGCTCCATATTAACTGTTGGTTCTTGGCACCTCATCCCACCTTCCCTTGCCCAGAGTTCTCTTGTTCCTCCGGTAATTGCAGGAGAGAAGGGAGGCATAGGAGAAAGAATATTATTAAGTAACTGCAGCCCTTGCACCTTGCTCAGTCCTATTCAGGAATTTTATATATTTAAAAAATGTAACTGGATACTTTGGGAACAATAGATGTCAGCTTTTGGAGGGAGAAGCTTCACAGGTTGGCCTTGATTTAATACTGATCACATTGTGACCATTCAAAGTTATGATGGACCTCCCTGGGGGCACTTATGACTCAAATTAGAAGTTCCGATGGTTGTTGCAGTCATGTGATCACACCAGGCGCTCATCAACCAGGCTGTATTTACATCCATTTGCATTGCCCCACGTTTTACAATGACTGAAAAATGGTGTTTACTTCCAGTTTTTGGCAAAACTGGGCCCATTGCAAACCATTGGTTTCCTTAATAACTGCAGCATGTGCTTAGTGACTGGCACAGAAAAGGTCATGAAACAGATCAATCACATGGGTGACCCAATTTACGACTGACATTAATTACAGCTAGTCATAACTCAAGGACTACGTGTAATAAATTTAAAATCATCATTAACCTGTGGTAATTCTGTAATGAATCTCACTTGTTTAATTTGGACTAATCTTCCAGGAGGGTGATGGTGATTGAAGGGTGTTGATTAAGAACAAAATTTCTGAGATTCCCAGAAAGCTTGTAGAAGAGGACATGAATAGCCCCATATTAATGTTTCTGATAGCCACATCCCGCCTGAAGGAGCCAGTATTGTCCAAGGACACTTATGTGATAATGTGGCCAGCATGACTATAACCAAAGGTGCACAGAATGCTGTTACCTTCCCACCAAAGTGGTACCTATTTATCTACTTGCATTTGCATGCTTTCAAATCACTAGGTGGGCAGAAGCTGGGACAAGCAATGTGGGTTATCGCTATCAATATTTACCATATTAGAAATTGAAACCAGGGTGGATTTGATTTAAATTGAGTTGATTTAAATCACAATTTAAATCATGATTTAAATCACTAGTAAAAAGACTTGATTTAAATCAACTCGATTTAAATCATAATTTTTAAAGAGCAACTGTCATCTCTGCTACTACTCCTTTGACCCACTGTTGACTCACTGATAGTCCCAGTGCTGCAGAATATACAGCCTCATGCTACATAACTAAGCTCCATTTCATGCTGAATAAACTAAATTATTTATGTATCTTAAATAGAAAACTATCTTACGATAGATTTTTACCCCAAAAGTTTTTTATTAAAATAAATTCAATAAAAATCAAAAAATCCGATTTAAATCAAAAAAATCCGATTTAAATCAAAAAATCCGATTTAAATAAAAAAAATCTGATTTTTTTGATTTTTTTAAAAAAATCATTGATTTTTATCCACCCTGATTGAAACTGAGAACTTTGAAAATACTTATTTAATAGTATTGAACCCCTAAGCTGCAAGAGTTTCAGAGAAGGACAAGGAAGGGATAAAACTGATACATAATAGATGATGCATAGGTGTCCCACTGCAATTCACCTATTTGATATGTAGTATGCTTTTCTTTCTAGATAAACTGAAGAGAGCTTTTGAAGTCATATGTGAAAATGTTGGAAGGAATTGGAAAGCGCTCGCTCGAACACTTGGAATTTCAGATGCCAAAATGGATAGGATTATGGTTGCTAATCCCTACAATTTGGAAGAACAATTGATGCAATCGCTTCTAGAATGGCAAAAATCAAAAGGAAAGGAAGCAAAGGTGGAGGATATAATAAGAGCTCTAAGGAACTGTCGAATGAATCTAGCAGCAGATTATGTTGAAGAAGCTGTGAAAGAAACTGAAACTCAGTAGGATTAGTCAGAAGAGACTGTTCTGGCAATGAATTAAAAATTCATAAGAGAAGACTGTCATTAGATAATTTTTTTAAAAAATACAATAATGTCTGATATAATCTTTTTCAATTTAAGTTTCATTATATCAGCACTAGGCAACCTATAAGTGTATTCAGCTCAAAAAGGCCTTATTAACTTAGACCCTGAGGAAACCATTTTTCCTTTTCCCCTGCATTCCTTGCTGTTGGAAGGAAGAAGATCAAGAGAAGAGCAGATGGCAGAATGAAAAGCAAAAAATGATATTCACTGGTTTTGGACTTTACCCAGCACTCATGTTCAGCAAATAATTTTAAAGATAAGGTGGCCCTCAACTAGTGCCTGGGCTGCAGAAATGAATGCTCATTAGATGGCAGCAAAGTAACACAGAAAAACGTTTAACATTTTGCTTTCACATAATAGTTTACCAAATTTCTGTAGCCAGATTTGCAAAGTTCTATTCAATTAAAAGATTTTCCTAATTTTTGCTGTTTCTGTATAGATGTACAGTAGACAGTTTATTCACAGGCCTATTAAGATGAACACAAGGAACGTGCTTGTATCTGATACCGTGTTTCCCCGAAAATAAGACCCTGTCTTATATTTTTTGAACCCTGAAATAAGCGCTTGGCCTTATTGCCATGCGCTCAAAAGCCCAATTGGGCTTTTTATCAGGGGATGTCTTATTTTGGGGGAAACCGGGAAACCCTATCCATGGATACTGATGTAGCCATGGGCTGTATTTTCCAGTAACTCAGCATGCAATGGTCTATAACAGCTTAATTTTCTGTTGTGAAAAGTAATAATAAAAAGAAATAATACAGACTCCTTTCAAGCTATTATATGCTAATAGCTAACAGTGGGACATGATCTTAAGTTGTTTCCTCATGAAAACATGAGTCACTTAGGTGAGACGGACATTGTAGAAATGTGATGAATAAATACAAATAAACCTACACAATAACTTGGTCCGTTAAATTTACACTTTGCATAATCCCAAACTGGATAGAGTTAGAGCCTCCGAGTAGAGTGAAATGGGTACAAATCTTGAAGTGGTTCTGTTATTCCTTCAATTATCCAAAGAATCTTGCAAAATATCAAACAAATGGCCAATGTTTATGATCTTACCCACACTGGAGCAACAAAAATATTCTGTGGGGCCCTGACTCACATTGTAATTTCCAACTTTCTCTGTACAGTTATCAAATATTCCAGGGCCCTGCTTTTTGTCTGTTTAGCTTAAATCAAACAGCATACTGTATTTTATGTGCAGCATGCTATATACTGTATCTCAATGGCTTCATTTTTACAAAAGCAATTTTAACCATTGCCTCCTCCCAATTAATAATGTTCTTTGAGCTAGATTAAAAAAAAACACAGCTGCGTTATAATTACATTTATGATAACCTGTAATTGGATGTAGGAGTGTTTTTGGAGGCGAGCCAAAAAAAGGAAGACAGCAGCCGCAACCTTGAAAAATCTGCCCCTATTTACATGCATTTAGGTAATAAAAAGGGGTGAATTTTTGATCGCATGCTTGTGTTGTCTTGACTATTTTTACCTTCTCTCACCAGGGAATATCCCTGATTGGATTTATACAAAACCAACCTCTTGGAATTGTGCTTCCACAACCAAATTTTCTCCATTGAAAATTGTAAAACTAAATTAAGGAACCTCAGGCAGTGTGTGTTTCTTCTGCCAAAGCCACATCCCTCCATGCTAGCACAGACAAGTATAACCCTTGCCAACTGCTTTGTGCTTTAAAAAAAAAAAGATAGCAAAACAGAACTTTGGAAATTTAGAAATACAGGATAAATCAAGAAAGAAAAAAACTAATAAAAAGCTTGAAAATATGGTGTAATCCCATGGAAAAAATTTTTTACCCAAAAGGCACTTGAAAGGGCAAAAGTAAACTATTAGGATCTACTTATAATATAATAGAAATTAAAATATATTTCTATAAAGAATTAAGGGCTAGAAGGGCCTACAAGTCTGTTCTATTAATTTTTCAGCTGTACAGTACTTTCAAGTCTTAAAGTCTTAAAAATTACTTCAGCAAGGTCCCATTCTCCATCTGCAGGAAAAGAGGGATTCTTCTATACTCCCACATAGCTGTAGACATGATTTAGAACTAACCCTTTTCCAAACTATCAACACTGAAACGTGCCCAATAGTAGCATCATTCTGTTGTAGTGCGATAGATCTGGGGGCTCCATGTTGGGGAAAACTGGGTGCTAAATTTTAGGTCCTAGTCCAAGTAAAGATTATCTAAAATTGGACCCCAACCCCTGATCTGTGGACTGGCACCAATCCATGGCATGTCAGCCACCAGACTGTGCAAAACAAAGCACCATTCCCGGGATACAGGCAGCACATGAGACCACGCCCCCTCCAGTTCGCAGAAAAACCTCTCTCCACAGAACCGGTCCCTGGTGCCCAAAAGGTTAGGGTTAGGGGATCGCTAATCTAAAACATGGAAGGAAGTACCTGAAATGTAAAATAAATCATATGTGGTTGTCATGGCATCCTCAGACCAAGTTTGGATATTCTGATATTCTTTGAGAGCTTGGAGAGGTAAGTAGTGGAGAGGGAAATCTAATAACACGGTGATCCTGATCTGGAATGACTTTCATCTCAACAGGGTGCTTTGAAAACTGGAGTCGAGGTTGTTCTGTGCCCCTGCTTGGAGCACCTAGACGAGAAAAGGTAGTATATAAACTGAACAAATCATTATTATAATTTATTCAATTTATACACTACCTGATCAGTTACTGAAACAACCACTTCATACAGCTTCTAAGAACTAAACAAGAGAATCGGAATTGTTAGACTAAGCTAAAGTTAACAATTTAAAACTTCTGTCACCCCAGGGAATGAATGAAGCTTGATGTCCAAGCAGAAAAGCACTTATTTACAGTATTGTTGACTGTAGTTCTAAGGATGCATTGCTCACCTTTCTTAGGGAAAGCCTTGCAGTCATGAGACGTTCTTTCAGTAATAACATAACAGGAAGCAATTTCTCTAGTTGTAGGTGTTAGAAAAACTTAGATGGCTGAATAGCTGTTCTATTACATCGCAATTTAAAGCACACAAATTCTACAAAGAGGAAAAAGTCAAAAAGTTCTAAACTGGAAGGCTAGAAGTATTTTTAAAAAAAATAACCTGTCAAAACCCACACCTAACTGAATATCTACAATAGGAAACTAATTTAAAAATCCCTATAGGATGGAACACTACATACTAATTATTTATTGCCATGCCTTCTTCTATACCTCTCACATTTTAATGGACTTTTTTTGTATTATGTGTTATGTTATACATAGTTCCTGCTTAAACCAGTTTTTACATAATTAGACAATTAACATACTTTAGCTCCTCATTGTGTTCCCCTCCTTTTCTTAAGGCAAAGCTTTGATTGCTAATAAAGCACACAGAAATCCAAACATGGCAAAGTATCTTTCCATGTTTTGTGACAGGCAAGGAACAAAGAGAGCTCTAAGTTGTAAACCTTCCCCCCACATCAATATAATAAAAAATACTTAGTTTAGGTATGTCCAACTATTTTAAATATACTTCAGATATAGGTTTCTGATTTGATCTGATCGGTGCAGTGTAACATTAGCAATGACATTTTAAAGACATGGGATTATTTATTCATTGCATTTATGTCTTGCTTTTTCCCTGAGAAATCAAGTCCATTTTACATGGGAGTCTCCTCAAATTTTATCCAAACAAGGTACAAGTGAGCTTTGCTGAGAGAGAATGACTAATAAAAAATCATCCCACTGAGCTCCATAATTTAGGTGGCCTTGAAATTTTACAATCTGTTAACCACTATACATTATTGTCTATCCACAGAATAATGGCATTAAATTTCGATGCAACTCAACAATCCACCACTTGACCTCCTTTCAAATAAGACTACATTGATAAGTGGGAAGGAAGACTGTGATCTATTCTGTAGGGAGACAAAGACAATGATTATGGCTGGTTGATTTCTGTTCATGTATGTTCATGTATGAAAGTGAAAATGTTGGCAGTGGGGTCTGCTCCTTCTAGTGGTGCCACTGGATAATGCCCACCCATCAGGGTGGTGCTGAGCTGAACACAGGCCAAACCAATGTCAAACCCAGGCAACAAGTCAGTCCGTCAGTCTTTTTATTGCAACCAATGGATCTACAGCCATATCTGTCAAAATGGAGACATGACCCAGATGCTGTTTGATCGTGCAAGATGGCATTCATCGATACGAAAAGTGGACCCACATCTGCAGACAAAACACTAGGAGGAAGAAGAAGAAGATGATGATGTTGTAGTAAATGAAAATGTTCTTTTCCCCTTCTGTCACATGAAAAATTACATTCAGTGAGTTATGGCAATTTGAAGACTATTTTGGAACTTCCTGGCGGAATACAATCTCAGATGGGACAACTCTGAAGTATGGGACAGCATTGTTCAGTTTCTTCAGATCCTCTATCTGTATTTTCAGAGAAGCATAGGAATCCTTCAGACCTTTGATTCCACCAATAACTGAATGTGTGATCTTTTTAATATGTTATCCAATCTCACAGGGTATCACATCTCAATTATATTTTTTGAACTCTTCATGTCATAGGTCTACATATCAAATTTACAAAGCCTCTGGTAGAAATGTGATGATGCAGTGATCAAATTCTGCAGCTTGCCAATGTCTTTTTCTACCTTTATTTGAAATCATCATCTCAATGATAAATGGACAGTATTTGACAATAAACACTTGGAAATGCCTTCTTCATGTGAACACTTGTAAACTACATTTTTGGATCAAATGGCGTGTTTGTACATGAGAATTGTAATGGAGGTACATGTCTACAAATGTTACATTAAATACTATGTGCTATCTGGTCTCCCCTAAGGCTGTTTGCAGTGCAGCATATCGCACTGTTAATTGCAGAAGAGAATTCTTGGCTATGATTCCTTTTTATCACATAAACACTTTAATGAGCTCATGTGCAGCCTAGGTTTGAGTTCCTCTTGTATTCAAAGAGAAAAATCAAGTTCTGTGTACAATTAATACATAGTACAATGTTTAACTGAAGTTCAGGCCCGATAATGCAAGAAATTTCTTTGGAAGAAGCTTGGAAAATCAATACGCAGGATTCTGGAAACTATGCTTTCTCTTGCTTTTTGCACAATACAGCACTAAGCTTTTCTGCATCCATGCCTGGGTACTCTAAAACAGATCCTATTGGGTTTAAACCAATGGTACCCTTCCGTTTTTGAAAAACAAATAAAAACAAATACCACTGCACATACACGAATTGCAGCGAGGCTAATAGCTTTGCAAGAATTTACTAATCTTGTCCCCTACATAAAGAAGCCTTCTAGTCATCTAATCTAATATTACAATTAGATTTAAAGTAAAATTATTTACTGGGCTCTGAAGATTGGAACTTCACTTGTCAACTGTTACTGTAACTTTGTAACTGCACTTGTCAAAAAT